GCGCTGACCTGCTGCTCGGTCGCCGGCCGCAGCACCCCCTGCGGCGCCGCCAGCAGCCGCGCCGCCGGCGCGCCCCACCCGCCGCCCGGCGTCCAGTGCGCCGCCGGCCACCTCGCGGCGGCGCCGGCGCCGCCGCCGTCGGGCGGCGCCGTCCCGGCGGGCAGGTGACCCGCGTGGCGCATGGGGCGAGCGAGCCGCGGGTCCTTAATCTGGATCCCTATCACGCCGCCGTCGGCGATGCGCGCCGCCTGTCTAGACGAGAGCACGAACCGCGCCGCCGACGGCCCCGACACCGATGGCGGCAGGCCCGAGGCCGCGCCGCCCTCGCCGTCGCCGCCAATGGCCTTGTCCGGGTCGGCCGCGCCCGCCGCGGCGGCGCCGTCGAGGCAGATTGTCGTCTCGCAGGCCGCACCCAGCGCCGCCGCGAGCGCCGCGTCCGCGCCTGCCCCGCACAGCTCGAGCCGCCGCAGGTACGGCGCCAGCGACACCACCGCCACCTCGCCGCCGCCCGCCGCCGCCGCCGAGCGCAGCGCCGCCGCGGCCTCGCGCGCCGTCGCCGCGTGGACCCACACCCACGCCCGCCGGGGTGCTGCCGCCGGCGCCGTGGAGGGCTCCAAAGGGTGGAGCATCACCATGGACGGGCCCACGGCGCGCGCGGGGAACGCGGGGCCGGGCACCTGCAGCACGATGGGCGCCTCCACCGCCCCCTCCCTGAAGCCGGGGGTCTCCCACGCCGCCCGCCAGTGGCCGGGTACGCTGCGGGGGCGCGGGGCGCGTCGGCGTGTCGGCCGGCTTCGCTGCAGTATAACAGCAGAGCAGGGCGGGCGGCCGAAGACACAGGGCCGCAGGCAATAGGCAGCAGCCACAGGGCGCCGCACACGTGCGCCCCGCGAGCAAATCGCGCCCAGCCCAGCTTGCTTGTCGCCACCCGCCGGCCACCGCCGGCCGAGCGCAGCCCAGCGCCCCCCGCCCTCCCCTTCCCGCATCCCCCGCCCTGCTGCACGCGCCTCCGCTGCACCCGGGCGCGCCCCGCCTGCGACTGCCCGTGCCGCGCGCAGCCGGTTGCCCCGGTTGCGCGTCGCAACTGCTTTACCTCCTCCCTCTCATGCACAATCGCGGCATGCTCGAGCCAGGAGACCGCATGCTCCACACAAAGCCGCACCTGACGGCCTCCAGGGTGCCGGCCAGCGCCCCCTCCTCCCCCTCCAGCTGCAGGCAGCACCAATAAGAAGCGTCGTGCGCCAGCGCCCCGCGCCGCGCCTTCTGCAGCAGCGAGCGGCTGCCGTGGCCGCGGCCGACGGCCTTGGAGGCGAGAAGGTGGCCGCAGCTGCGCGCGGCGCGGGGCGTGGGATGGGTTGGGGACGAATGGCACGATCGCGAAGCGGCGGGGGGGGGGGGGAGCGGGGTGCAGAGG